CTAATATATATATATATATATATATATATATTGAAGCATTTTTATACCTTAGTAGGCTATATGAGGTCTTAAGTTAACATCGATAAGCTATTTTCTTAATGCAAGACTAATTCTTGATCACAACTGGGTACAAATTAAAGCGTCACCCTTAGTTAAGAAGGTCACCCGAAAGTTCACTGGCTTTAATTTATGTAAAATCCACTCACGATCTGACCTCTGTCACCCTAACAAGTACAGACGCGCGTGAAACACATAGATATTAGCACAGTCAAATGTTATTAGAACATTACTTTTTAGTTCAAATGAACACTTTGGTGGCTCAGCGGTAAGTCTGAAGGTTTATAATGCTAAAAACCTGGGTTTCGATAACCGCGATGGGCAGATCAGAGAGAGAGCATTGTACTAAATAACAAACAAACGGTTAAACACAACTTTTCCAAATTTTGAAATAAGACGTATCTATAAAAATCCTATAGCCAAAATCCATTTTGTCCAGTAGACATTTAATCATTGTTCTGTTATACATGTCTTTCTTCAAAAACGTCCTTTTTTGGTGAACTTAGTTATCTACATTACAAATAATATAGTAGTACCGTATTATCGTAGAAAAGGCTTTTAGAAGCCCAAAAAAAAAAAGCATTTTATCCGAGTGTATGAGGGACCTGCTCAAAATAAAGATTATGTTAAAATGATTTACAGAGAAATATATATGTACATATATATCGACTTATTCAAGAGCCTGTCGTTTACACTTTCATTTATATGTTTGTTTCACTTGAAGTGAAAACGTCCTCTTTCTGTGTTATTCAGAGTATACTCAAATAAATGGCAATATAATAATGGAGCGCTCTTTTTGTGTCTAACTTAGACTAAGAAACGAATAAAACAAACACATTAGTTTGATGAAATACCATTCTGGACTCGCTAATACGTTCTGACGTATTCCTAGTTCATCTGTTTATACGTATGGAATTCTTTATTTTTTTTAGTACAGATGTTGAGACTTGTTTATGTATTCAAACTTCTGTTTTGCATTGATAACAGTAAATCTGGCTTAGTGACTTGAATTGATAATCCTAAACACGAGTTGAATTGAAAACTGAGAGCTTGAGATGGTGAATTGAAAAGGTAACATCTTGGGTTTATTTCTTGTATCGATAAGAAGCTAGGAGAAGTATTTTTAAAATTTACTTTCACTAAATTTCGCACAAAGTTTCGTCTCAGGAGCTAAACACTTCACATTTAAATTATGTTTGGTATTCGATCAAAACTTGTGTTTAGATATCAGTTACTTATCAAATATTTTTCAGTTGAAAGAAGTAAATATTACATTTGTTTCTTAAACTAAAAAAAAACATATGTGGAATTATAAATTAAATTAAATTAAATACATTAACAAACGTTTTTTATGCGTTAAGTTTTATTCGGTGTTGCCTAACCGGCTGTGGAAAACATTCACATCCTGAACTTTCAACAGGTAAAAGGCATTGCCATCACAGCGCATGCTTCTGGCACCCAAAGGGTTAAATCACAATGCGGATCATCCACAGGAAACTGCTCATATTTCCTTCAGTTAAATTAACAATGAACTATTCAAAAGATAAATCACACATATGTATTTAGCGAACGATAAAAAACAGCAATAATAATGACATCTGAACCACTAATTTTAGAATAGTTAAATACTATAAAAGTTTTCTGTTATTGTATTCTTATATATTATTAATATTTTCGAAACATTAAATATCATAATGTAATTTTCATCAACTAGATCGCACCATTTATAATCTTTTAAAATTTGTTCTGTGTTTTTTTATAAAAAAAAAGCCACATCAAGCTAAATGCTGTGTCTATCGAGGGGAATCAAACCCCTAATTTTTGGCGTTGTAATTCCGAAGACTTACTGCTGTCCCACTGGTGGACTAAATTGGTTCTAAATCACATCTTTAATACTGAGAAAGATCGAGTTAAGCCTAACGAAAATTATGCCTGATGAAGACTCCAACACTGAAGTCATAAGATTACACCGAATAAAATTTAAAGTTAATTAACGTGTAGAAAACGTCTGTTAATCTATTTTGTTTCCATGTTTATCTCGTCGATTTTAAAATTTAAGACTTTTTCTTCGAAATTACTTGCCACAGAAAAAGATGGATTTATCCTAAATTATCATTACTTACTTCAAATTAAAGAATAAGTTGAACAATCGCCAAGTTTTTGCTATACTTTTATTTAAAGAAGGGTGAGATTCCGAGCTGGCGCTCTTTGTCAGAGCGTACAGCTCACAATGAAGGTGTATGCAAAGAAATTGCATACGTAGTATTTGGAATGTTGAGCGTGAAATTTCTGTGCGAAATTAGACCTTTTATATAAATATTACAAGTAAAGAAAAGATAAAATAGATTGCAATTAAAATTTAAACCAAAAATGGAAAAATGAGAGTCTGTAGGGAAGAAAAGCGTTTATTTAAACCAGATGTTGTAGGGTCCCCAGATTGTAGATTAATCTCCTTTCCAGTCGTTCTCTTTTGTGATTGTTTGTTTTGAATTTCGCGCAAAGCTACACGAGGGCTATCTGCGCTAGCCGTCCCTAATTTAGCAGTGTAAGACTAGAGGGAAGGCAGCTAGTCATCACCACCCACCGCCAACTCTTGGGCTACTCTTTTACCAACGAATAGTGGGATTGACCGTCACATTATAACGCCCCACGGCTAAAAGGGCGAGCATGTTTGGTGTGACGGGGATTCGAACTCGCGACCCTCAGAACTAATAAGTCCAAGAATCGACAAGTCCTCAAATGTATGGTTGTTGATGGTGAAATGTTTGTCTATAAGTGAATCCTGGTTCTGCACTTTAATACGGTTTAGATGTTTTCGTGTTCGATCACCAAGTCAGCGGCATGTTTGTCCAGTGTATAAACTATTGCATCTTTTGCAAATTATATAGTAAATGATACATTCAGTGATACATGTAAAGGTCTGTCTTACGTCGAAATTTGTGGTTTTTTCCCCGTATATGTGTAATGGTGTTTATATGTGGGAAGGTGACACATTTATTTCGTTTACATGTAAAAGTGCCTGAAGTATCATTTTACTGTGCATCATGATTTCTTTTAGGTTTTTGTCATGTCTGTAAGAAATACTGGGTGGGTTCTTGAAAAGAGATTTAGTGGTAGGGTCTTCATTAACTATTGTGTAATTGTTTAGTATAATTACTTTGATCTTTCTGTTGGTCTGTTGGTATGTTAACACAAGTGGAATACAACCGGTGTGTACTTTCTTGGTAGGGTTGAGTGTTTGCTCCTGCGTATATGAGCTAGCTTTGGTGGCTGCAAAGTGGATGAGAGAATCAGTTTAGTGCCTTTTAGAAAAAAAGTTTTAATGTCTTTGGATTTACATTTATAGCCGTTATCATCAATACATAGTTTGCGTAGTCGTAGAAATTGTGAGTGAGGTGTTGACTTTTTGTTAAAGTGGGGGTGGGAAGATTCGAAATGTAGGTACGTGTGTAAGACGACCATCTGACCACTAGTGTACATTACAAAGAAACACATTTGTATGTATATGTTAATGTAGGTTCGTGTGTGAATGTGTTTCTTTGTAATGTACACTAGTGGTCAGATGGTCGTCTTGTATATATATGTTAATGCAGAGAAAGGGGAGTGTTGTGTCGGATATTTCCCAAGTAAATTCTAAATTAATTTTTCCATTTTTTGTTTAAATTTTAATTGCAATTTGTTTTATCTTTATTGACTTTGATATTTATGTAAAAAATGCAAATTTGCACTGAAATTTCACGCTCAACATACCAAATACTACGCCTGCAATTTCTTTGAATTCTGCGCACGCGCGTTTGTTGTAAGCTATACGATTCTGACGAAGAGCGCTAGCTCGAAACACCACCCTTCTTTAAATAAAAGTATTATAAAAACTTGGCGATTGTTCAACCTATTATTTAAATGCGACATCTTTGTCGCCTATGCGGTTTTAACTATATTTTTCTTTTTGTCATTACTTACTTGACAGGTTGTTTACATGCTTACCAGCGTTGTTGTTATATTCGGTGTTTGTTGGCTTCCCTACCATGTCTACTTCCTGTACGTCTACCATGACAAAGAATTCGTTAAGAAAAAGATTGTCCAGCACCTGTACCTGTCTATTTACTGGTTAGCTATGGCTAATGCGATGCTTAACCCTATTGTCTACTGTTGGACCAATCACAGGTAAGTTAGTGTGAAAAGCTTTTTAACAAGTGTGCTGCCGATTTTTTTGTATAATAATTCTAAATAGAACTGCTGAACCCTGCTGGTTCAGATAAGATTTTTGGTGGGCTATAAACTTTTCAGTTACCCTAAGCTGTATTTCATTATCTGTTCTACTTGTGTTTTTAAGGAGGTAGAATCTTATTACATGTTACGACCTGTTATAAAGTGACGATTGGCTCTGCTTTTTAAGGAGGTAGAATCTTATTACATGTTACGACCTGTTATAAAGTGACGATTGGCTCTGCTTTTTAAGTAGGTAGAATCTTATTACATGTTACGACCTGTTATAAAGTGACGATTGGCTCTGCTGGATGTAGTTTCGGATTTCAGCGCTAGGTGTTATTTATAAATGCTGAGAAGGACGTGAACGTAGATCCCATGATATTCCATTGTTCTATATAACAGCATAGATGATGTAAGTTTGTAAGGAACCAATAAACTCTTACATTATTTGATACCAATTTCTTAAATTTAAACAAAGGCTTAATTATATTACTGGTTTAATAATGCACCCAATCTGAACCTATGTGTACGTTAGAAAAATGTGTTTATTTGTATATTTTTCAATTCAACATGTTCATCAGTGTAAGGTGTTAAAATTGTACATCATCTTCTTTGAACTCGAATACATTTCTCAGTAATGACAAGTTTGTGAATTTAGTTTTTCTTCAGAATATATTTACTTTTGTGCACCTCTTTCTGTGCAAGAATTAGAAAACTGATTACAGCGCTGTATGCTCTTTACCAAATTTAAATGTGTGTGTGCGTGCTGAATTTTGTGTATAACTAGTCGACGGCATTCTGCGCTCACCGTCCCTAATTTTGAAGTGTTATATTAGAGACAAGGCAACTAGTCGCGGATTCGAATCCCCGTCACACCAAACATGCTCGCCCTTTTAGCCGTGGGTGTGTTATAATGTTATGGTCAATCCCACTATTCGTTGGTAAAATAGTAGCCCCAGAGTTGGCGATGGGTGGTGATGACTAGCTGCCTTCCCTCTAGTCTTACACTGCTAAATTAGGGACGGCTAGCGCAGATAGCCCTGGTGTAGCTTTGCGCGAAATTCATAACAATTTCTTCTGTGGGCATTTCTATGCTAGTGAATTTTTACTAATTATATAGTATTATGGTTTACCCGTACTTTCTCAAATGCTCTATGATTGCGTGAAATTAAGTTCAGCAACGGCACACGCGTGGAATTTTTAAAGCATTACAGTGTAGTTTGCTAGTTGTTACGGTTAAATTAGAGTGAGATCATGCAACTGAAAAACTAATTACTCTGAAGTATGCAAAAGTTATAACTAAAACAAGGTAAAAAAATAAAAATAAAAATATCTATTTGTTAAATTCCCGTTGTTAACGGTACTTACATGAGATTTAACAAGTCAAAGAACCGCCCGTAGATGTCATACAGTTTAATTTTATTGTTGTTGCTTTTTTTGCGAGACCAATTGCAACATGTGAAATGAAGTGAATGTTACGAAATAATCAATCTCCGCCACAACTAAAGATTTCAAATAAAAAATTACTAGAGTTCCTAAGGAAATCTCCTGAAATAAGATAACACAGATATTTATATAAGTTTGAAGCAGATATCCGAGAGGTACCACAATGTAACTCAAGTTGATATGACATTTTTTTTCTTACTGCTGTGAATTTCCAGCTGGCTTACAAGATGTTATACGATAGCACTTGAGAGCTGTTACGTGATTAATCTTATTTCGGCTGTTACAGCCAAGTCCTCAAGAAACGCTAAAAGATGTCTTTAGGATAAGTATCATAGTCTTAAAAACTAAATCGAAAGAAATTGTCATTCCGAGAACTCGCAACATGTCCTCCACTCAACGAATTATATTTGCTTGTTCTTAGGTTTAACACAGTATCCTGAAGCTTCTTGGCCCTTTACATTTTACTCTTCTTGTTTCTCTAGGTTCAGGCGTTACTTTCAAGAAGTTGTCTGCAGCTGCTGTAGTAAGCAGCCGAATTTCGATGTCCCTATTCAGCGCCGTAGAAACCTGTTGGCTCAACAACAAATCAGTGATATACGACTCCATGACCTGAACTAACACATTAGTCACTAATCAGTCTTGAGCGAAACAATCTTGACTGAGTCTGGGATTGTCTAACGTCGAAATTATGCTGTTACTATATTGTGACTATATTTGTATGTAATTAGTATTTCATAACTGTGAGCTTTTAAAAATATAGGGAACTTACAGTTTTATATCATTCCAAATGTATTTAACAGTGAAATAAGTAATATTATAAAATTAAAAATTAATATTAAATATTATTATAAAAATTAATATTAAATATTATTATAAAAATTAATATTAAATATTATTATAAAAATTAATATTAAATACTATTATAAAAATCAATATTAAATATTATTATAAAAATCAATATCAAATATTATTATAAAAATTAATATTAAATATTATTGTAAAAATTAACATTAAATATTATTATAAAATTAATATTAAAAATATCATAATAGAACAATAATAAGTAATAACTGAAGATGTAGACTTAAAAACTGTGCTATTGGTGTGTATAAAATAACATTTTGATGAAAGACAAATTCTTGATACTGATGACGGAGATTTTGATGTCCTATCCTTGCAGTTAAATGTATAATGTCTAATAATCACACCACCTTACTCATCTTATTATGTATATAAATAAAGAGTGTTAAACTGATCTACAAATACTTACTGATGATACGGTGTTTAACTCGGTTATTAACTAAACTAGTCAACAACTACTTATTTGTGATACGGCGTTTACCTCTGTTAGTTAAACTGGTCAACAAATACGTACTTGTGAGATCGTGTTTAACTCGGTTATTAACTAAACTAGTCAACAACTACTTATTTGTGATACGGCGTTTACCTCTGTTAGTTAAACTGGTCAACAAATTCTTACTTGTGAGACCGTGTTTAACTCGGTTATTAACTAAACTAGTCAACAACTACTTTTTTGTGATACGGTGTTAGTTATTCTGGAAAGGTAAAGAACTATTAATATGTGAAAAGGTAGTTTTATTTCATTCAGCTGAGTATAATATTTCGAGAAAGACTTCGAAAACTCACCTGCTACTACTTACTTACAACAAAGCACTGTTAACTTGATCAGTTGATTTTAATCTGTTAGGAAATATAGCGTTAAATTAATAAGTCGGACGAAGCACTGTTAACTTGATCAGCTGATTTTAATATATTAGGAACTATAGTGTTGAATTATTAAGTCGGACGAAGCACTGTTAACTTGATCAGCTGATTTTAATATATTAGGAACTATAGTGTTGAATTATTAAGTCGGACGAAGTACTGTTAATTTTGTTGTTCATTTATGAAATGTGAGAAAGTGAAGCAAATATTATGCTTGTATTTATGATGATGGACTGGTCAGAATGTTCTAATAAATGATGATATGCTGTTGATTGTAGTGTTACTGTTGTTAAAACGACCAACTTCTATTTATGTTTAACAAATTAGTGTCTGCATTATGTATGCGAGAAACTGTTGTTAAAATGATCAACTTCTATTTATGTTTGACGAAGCTGTGTTTTAATTTATGTTTAAATCAAATATCATTTACTTTGTGTTATAATATTTTTAATTTGGTCAGTTATTATGGAGGAAATTATATTGAAATTATTAAAGAATATGTGTGAATTGTGTTTAGTTGATTAAAATCTGCATTAAACTTATTACATCAATTAATTAGTATTTATGTATGATAAATAAGTGTTAACTTGGTAGCTTAAACACGATGTGATTGAAAATTGATACAATAATACAAAAATATTATAGGAATCAGTAAAGGTAACCGAATATCTTATTGGCAACTTCTATAAGGTGTTGCACGTATAACAAATTCACATTCTATTCAAATAAAAAAAACTAAAGACCAAATATATTTTACAAATATAGAATTGTATAAAATTAGTATATAAATCAACTTTTGTGAGAAAAACTATACATAGATTTGCACATAAGCTTGAGGGCTTGTACGCTATAAAAACGGGCTTTTAATATCCGAGGTGGGCATATCGCCGATAGCTCACGTGTAGCTTTAAGCACTTAAATACAAAAAACATTCTCCCCTTAATTATCATAATTACGATAGTTATTATACTAATTATAGTAGGAATGGGGCGGATACACGATACGTGTAATACAAACTATTTACTCATACACACCTTTAATAACCAAATAATAAAACTTCAAAAGTGTTTGAGAGACACTCTTAGGTGATAAACAAACCACATACACAATTACAAATCATACAACCACTTGAGAAAGTCCGCAGAGCAGATACAAAAAATAAATAAATTGAATACCCAAACCACAATTTTCCCAATCCCACTGACTGACTGACACTGTTGAACGCTGTTTGACGTACATCGGGTAATATCTTGAATAGGGACGCCATTTTAAAATACATACGTCCGCTCACTTACTCAGTATATTGAGTAGGTGTTGTCAAATAAAACAGTGAAGTGATGTGGTCTTCTTGATCTACAACACTGTGTGACAAGATCGAGAAATTGTGAGTAGTATGGGGTATGCCAACGTAGGGTGAGCCTTGAAAGAAGCTTCACTATCTAGACTAGAAGACAAGCTGCGCTCTTTTGCAATTAATTTATAATACGTATTGTAAATTAAATCAAGTTTGCATTAATGAAGAATTTAATAGTAGCGTAATATTACGGTGCACACCACACTGATGATATACATAAAGGATATCAACACAAATGAATGAATGATGCATAATACCATGTCACCTTGTATTAAAAAATTGCATAAACAAGAGAAAAAATATTTAAAAAAATTGAAAGTGTAGGAAAGGCTGAAGAAAGGCACTAAAGAGTGAAGAAACAAGGTAGTAATTTGCAAAGCTGCACGAGGGCTATCTGCGCTAGCCGTCCCTAATTTAACAGTGAAAGACTAGAGGGAAGGCAGCTAGTCATCATCACCCACCGCCAACTCTTGTACTACTATTTTACCAACGAATAGTGGGATTGACCACACATTATAACGCCCACACGGCTGAAAGGGCAAGCATGTTTGGTGGGACGGAGATTCGAACCCTCGATCCTCAGACTGTGAGTCGAGCGCCCTAACCACTTGGCCATGCCAGGCCTCGTTCAACGATAAGGAGTTAATACAAATAAAATAATTTTTCACGACACATATCTGCCCCCAAGAATTCGTTAAGAATTGGAAAAAAGGGGGAAATATTTATGGTTTTTGGCTGTAGAGTTCTAAAGTTAACTCTCTTAAATAGCAGCGCCCTCTAACCTAGCAAAGTTTCCGTTGCGCTCCAATTGCTCACATTAAAATAATTTTCGCAAGTGATAACAGCAAAATCAATAGTTTCTTTACATTTTCTTTTTTATATTTCCTTTAGAGATAAAAATACTTGTAAGGAGTGAGTAAAGGCGAGAGTATATATAAAAAAAAAGCACGAGAGGAAAGTGATAGTTTTGTTTGGTTATTGTCGTCTCCAACTCTTCTGTTGTTATTTTTGGCCAATAGGCGCCCCCCCCTCCTCAGCTCCCAGTACGCGCCCCTTCAGAGAGGTGCACCCCACAGCTTGGAAAACAATGCTCTAAGGAAAAGCTTCGGAAAGAAGAGAAGAGACTTCAAGGCTTGGTCATCCCTTAGAAAAGTGATGCTGGAAAAATGGGTACTCTGGTTCTGGAAAAAACCTTGTCACTTAGATGAATATTGGCTTTAGAGCCATTTTACAGGGATGAGATCGGTTCTCACATTTAATAGTGTTTGATCGTTATCTATTGTCTAGAGGCATCTGCGTCTGTTTTGCCTGGTGTGAAATTTGAAACATTTGTATTTACATGACATTTCAAGCAAACATGTCAATCAGTTAGCTGAATTGATGTTTGTAATACTATGTTGAAAAGTTAAAATCAATTTTGAAGGAATATTACTATACACACAATTTATTCGAAATTGGATTATGTTTGCTTTATAAAGCTAACTATATTGGTATTACTTATGATAAATAAATGTATTAATATCAATACATAAATAAATATTAAATATACAATATTTCAAATGTACAATAACAATACTTACAATTAAAAAAAATATATTCTAAATATTCGTAATGTTTTATTTCAAATGCAGGCACCTACTACAATTAGGTTTTCAGGCTCATTAATATTTGTTATAATTTTTTTCAATGCTGATTTAATATGTATATTATTACCACTAAATATTAAACTCGTTTTATTTGTTTGTTAAACAGAAAGCTATTCAGTGGGCTAGCAGTACGCTGCCTTTCACGGTTATCGAAACCCGATTTTTGGCATAGTAAGCCTGCAGACTTGCCGCGTAGCTACTAAGGGGCGAACTTATTAGACAAATAGAGAGACCTACATGACGAAAGTGTTTCGTCTAAGAAGTATTAAGGTTTCAGTATTTTGGAAGATAAACGTTTAGTCTCAAGGAATAGAAAAAGCTTAATAATATTACAGAACTTTATCGGGAAGCCCCCCAGTGATACAGCGGTATGTCCGCGGACTTACAACGCTAGAAACCGGGTTTCGATACCCGTAGCGGGCAGATCACAGATAGCCCTTGTGTAGCTTTGCGCATAATTGAAAAACTAAACAAAGTTTATCGAGAAAACACATAATTAACTGTTTTTGTAACTGGATGATGTAAATTGTTTAATTCGTTGAAAAAAAACGAAACATATTTTCCGTGGAAGTGGTGATTTTTTAAAAACTAAACAAAGTTTATCGAGAAAACACATAATTAGCTGTTTTTGTAACTGGATGATGTGAGTTGTTTAATTCGTTTAAAAAAACGAAACATATTTTCCGTGGAAGTGGTGATTTTTTAAAAACTAAACAAAGTTTATCGAGAAAACACATAATTAGCTGTTTTTGTAACTGGATGATGTAAGTTGTTTAATTCGTTTAAAAAAACGAAACATATTTTCCGTGGAAGTGGTGATTTTTTAAAAACTAAACAAGTGTATGAAATAAAAAGAGTGTTGCAGGAATGTCGTGTATCTTTGTTATATGATAACAAAAATCATTTTTGGAAATTAGGAAATACATATAACCTTGGCGCAGTAATGACGGTGAAAAGGAAAATAATGAACATTGTATTAGGTGAGGAAAATGTTGAGATACAC